CTCTTTCCCAATCGGTATGTTAATTGAATCACAAGACAAGACTCATTTTGACAAAGTACTTTGAACTCTCTGTTAACATTCACAGAAAGTTTCATGTAAAACAACAGACAAATCCCAAGCAGGTGAATTAAGTCAACAGAGAGTTCTACATTTGCAAAATGAGTACATTCTGCCTAAGATTTAATAGATCAGACGAAAGCTAATTCCTTTTCTGCTTATCATGATATCATCATCTACTACAAACTAAACTTTCCATTTTGCTTTTAAAAACAGAAACAAAGTAAGCATGGTACAAAGCATGATGGGATTAGGATCTGTGAAGACAACGGAAGTCTTGCCAAGGAACTGGCTCTGAAGCAGGACCTTAACATGGTGGGGAAAGGCCACTGATACAATAGGAGAGCTAGCTTAATTCATTTTACTACTTTAGAATCCTTATCTAATTAGAATCAAGCATGTTGAGTCATGTATAAACCAGTGTAATTCCACTGATTTTAATAATTAAATATCACTCTTGGGATGCTTTGTTTTGGCTCATGATAGCAGATTTAATCCATACAAAATTTGGCAGCAAAACGTTAGCTGAATGCTCATTTAAAAATGTTTCATAACTAATTAGATTTTCTTTCAGGTACTAATTTGAAAAAAAAATCTCAAAATTATGTTCTTAATTTGGTTTTTTAAACATATAGAACAAGTTCACCTCAAAATGAACAATTCACAGAAGAATCTTTATACACTGCACTATAGCAACGTATTTGGGCATAGGAACATAACAGAGAGATTTTAATATTTCAGTAAACAAGAGCCCTAGCTATTTGATAAACCACTGCTCATTTACATGGGAAAGTCAGACCACATTTTTTATACTGTAATGTATTTGAAATTGAAGTTTAAACCAATGTGCTTTGCTAAGTTTGTGACGCTTTTATTGTATAACGTGAGTTACAGGATGTTCTCAAGAACTCTATGAGAAAAACAAACTATATGTTCCTTTGTAGGGAGTTCCTGGGTGTTACTGCAAGACAATATTTAAAAATTTTAATTGTGTTGAACCAGTTTTGAAATTTAGGTTACAGATTTTCAGAAGGAAAGAAAAAGGCATTCAGAGGAAGAGGAAACTACTGGCACTATATTGCAGTCTCACCTCTTCAAATGTAAATATGTAGTTATTTTTTGGTTTACTCCCATTGAACAACTGCTGGTAAAGTGGGGGGGAGGGGGGAATCAAGATGTTATTTGTTAGTATGTTAAATGCTCATAGAAAGGTCAACTAAGATTAATCTATGGTGCATTAAAGGAAACCCATAAATTCTATACACAGCTGTCTTTGTTGTGTACCTTGGTTTTAGAAGGTAGTTCTGGTATCAGTCTGAATAGCATGCACCACCCGAAACAAACTGTCATTGATAAAATCTAGTCTGTGTAACTGTTAATAGTAAATATACACAGAGAGGAGTATGCACAATACTCAATGTACAAATTCTGCAAAGAATAAAGAAACACAATATATGTTCAAAACATTGTGAAACAGCCATTGAAGGAGTACTTGAAAACATCTCTGCTCATCTTCATTTGATTCCTAAATCGTCTTTAAATTTTAAAAAAATGCAAAACAATACTCTAAAATACGGTTTAAAAAATCCATTGGTTTGCAAAGAGGATGTCCAAGAGGTCAATTTTAACTTTCTGGGATCGAGAGTGCTCTGGTGAACATAATATTATTTACAAAGGGGGTTCAAGAATTTACTCTTCAAGTGTCAGAAAGAATAATAAAAATCTTGGTTACTGAATATATTGAGATTCTTTCTTACTTGAGTTCCTTTTTTTTAAGAGCAGTTTGCTATACACTGTTATTTCAGTGGGCACACAAGTTTCAACTAGGTGTGAAAAACTGGAAATTTATAGCCAACAAATGGTCTATATTTGCATGGTATGGCTGGGTACTAAAGGTAGGTGATACCAGTATGGGGAAGGGCAATCAACACGTCACAAAATGGGCCACAAATAATACCATTACAAATTCATTACTTTATATTATTTTTCCTCTCCTTAACAAAGGACTCAGGTTTTTGAAGTCATATAAAAGAGTCAGTTGCCCAACCCCTTTGTAGCCAAGAGACTACTAAAAACTTCTAATGAATTTAAAATCAGCAAATAATGGTGCAATATATGGAAACATCTGAAAATATGTCATCATATTAATTAATATTCATCAAATGAAATGTGAAGTTTAGGCCTGGAAGGGACCCTGTGAGAACACTGAGTCCAGCTGAAGCTGTGAATGTGTGATGAAGGAATTTATTTACACATCATCTAAAACTTAATGCATCTACCCATTATGCTGAAGTGCATGTAAATTATTAAACTCAGGGGTTTTGTAACTGTGGGCCACTGCTTGGGACCCAGTCCCTTGTGCAGGCAACACTCCCCTTTCAATCAACGGATGCTGCAAAGGTTATCAATAGGAAAGTGCAGACACTAGGACCATGGGGATGCCTCCCCTACTGCAGCAGAGATACTAAAGGTGTTTACACAAATGACATTTTTCACAGGAAGGGGACCCTGAAAATGCTCTACAGCTATGACTTAACACATGTGCATGACTGCAGAGCACTTTTAAAATGGCCAGTCACATGAAAAGTTAACCCTGGACACATGAAGTATCAGAGTAAGGAATTCTAAAGCAGAGTGCCTTAGGGAACATGCGTTCCCTCCAGGGTGAATTTTTGACATGGGGATGGGGTTGGACTGCTGCTCGCCCCAGAAGCACCAGCCGAACCACGCTCCTGGGCCTGTCAGTGGGGGAGGAAGAAGGAAGGGGAAGGAGCAACATGCATAGGGCTGCTGGCTGCTTTTGCATGGCCAGAGCTGAGTGGGGGGGGGGCAGGGAGGAATGGAGTCCCCTCACCTTGTGGGGCCCCCTTAGCTACCCTGGATAGAGTACTGGGGAGAGCTGGGCTGGTCCCATGAGCGGAGGGGGCTCTTTTCTACCCTGCCCCTCCCCACACTCTGGACATTCAAAAGCTGCTGCTATCAAAGGCCTGGGCTGGGGAGAGGGGTGGCTCTCAGCTAGGGCCACTCCAACCGCCCCCACCCCCGATCCAACAGGCAAACATCTATTGGGTCAGGGGGGAGTGGGCTCTAACTCATGGAGCTGTATGTAAGGCACCATGAGTTAAAGCAGGCATCTGTAGGCACCCTAAACTGAATACAGTAGACAACAGGACCCTGGAGACGCTTCCTCTGCTGCGGTGGCTAGAGCCATGCTACTGATTTCCTAAACTGCCTCCAGGCTGATCCACTCTATTCATGGGCTGGATCCAACCCACAGATCATAGGTTGCCAACCCCTATTTAAACCAACATTGAAACTTCTTCCCTCCTTGTTGCCCTTCTCCTTCTTTTAATAATAAGGCATTTTTGCATTAATTCAAATTTGAAAATGAAGAACATTCAGGCATAGAGGCAAAGACTTGAGAAAAGCTATTTTTGCCACATTTCTTTCCATTCCATAGTAAAAGATAATTATCACTGAATTTTGAGTTCTCTTTCATAGCTCAGTGTCTCCTTCTGGTTCACCTGGTAAAAAGATTTACTGTCTTGTGTAAATTCTATTAGTTGTGGTGGGATTCCCCTGGTCCGGGACCTGGGCAAAAGAGCTATAAGGCCATCTTCAGGGAATATACTGCAGGCCCTAACATAGTGGTGTGATGGTGAAGCTACAACATACAAAACAAAGAACTTTCTGCTCAGGCCTATTATCTAGATGCAGTTTAGGTCAGGTAGCCCACAGGCTGCCTAGATTATGTTGCAGGATGAAGAATAAAACAGAATTGAGATTGAGGGATTCTTCAACCCACTATTAGCTCACTCCTCTCATCACTGAGAGTTTTCTGTTACCTCATCCATACACTTAAACATAACTGGCTCAAACATCATCTTACTGATACCATTTAATATTAATAGTTGAAACAGATAGAAACTGAAGATTCTTTTCCTGAGTCATAGTGGTCAATTTTTGTCTGTTTCATATTTTATATATATTTCACCTTGGACTGAGCATTTTCACTTCATTCATTTTATATTTGATTTGACTTTGACTTTCCTATGAAAGTTTCCTGCTGCAGTCCGTAGGTAACAGAAATAGTTCTGGTGGGGCAAATATTGACAAAGTATTTCTAGTGAAATTAAAACAAAACATTTAAAGAAACTTATCTCTTGGCTTCAGACACCTGCAAGCATCTCTCCAAACAAATTAGAGAAAAGACTGAAACAGAGTAAGCCTTTCCACAGAGAGAAATTAAAGTCCTGACCTGGAAAATGAGAACATAGTGTGGAATCAGAAAAACTATCTGCCTTAAACTTTGATTATTTTAGTTATAAGATGACATAACCGCTTTGTGGAGAATTGCTGGCTCTGTACAGTAGAACAGATAAGAGAAAGTGTTTGTTCTTTGTAACTCCTCTGCAACTGCTTTGCTCACCGCAGCCTTGAAGATAGCAAAAAAGTATGTACAAATCTGATTTCCAGGTGCAAGAAGGAGGTTTGTGAACTAACCTCGCCTCCCCCATTAGTTCCCATCCTGATTACAGCAAAGAAATAATGAAGTAATATTATAGCCGCTTTTCATGCTAATTTCACTATATGATCACATGAGTTGTAAGCAACTGTTAAAAAGTATATAAGCCTCCTGATTTTGCTCTTGGGGGGGACCCCTTCCAAGTGCTTGGGAAATCCATGTCACTTTGGAGTCCCCCCTACAGCTGTAGTTTCTTTTGAATAAAAGCTTCTGCTGACCTGACCCAAAAGTATGCTGCGTGTGTTTCCACGACAATAGTATATGGTGTTATTTATGACTCACTAAAATCAATGGTGCAATTTGCAGGAGTAAATCTATGTAGTATATGAGCATTTGTAAGATCAGTCTTTGATGTTAAACATCCTCATCATATACAGATTCAGGTTTCACAGCTCAGTGCTCTCTCCCTCGTGTCTTATCCAATAATCTTTGGAAAAATTCTCATTTGGAGATATACAAAGAAAAAAATAATGAAAAAGCAAATAAGTGCTATTTATTTGCTTTGGATATGAAAATTCCAAAATCAAAATTCTCGGCAGGATGAGAGTTTCTCTTTAAGTGAAATTTACGATAGCTAAAAATTTTTTTTAACTTTTTTTTTTATATAAATAAAGACTTAAATGATCTTCTCCTAGCACTGTCTAACAATCTCTTTTCTTTCAAAACAGGGAATGCACTTCAGAATCATGTTTAGATGCAGTTACCACAAGCTATTATTTTAAATACAGTAGTGCCAATTACCTGGAGTAATTAGTCTCACCCTCCTTTTGGAGAACCACTTTTTTCCAAATAATTAAACACCATGATATAAAGTACTGAAAACTGTACACTGTACAGCAAATATATGTTACTGTAAAACAAATATATGGTAACAAGTGTATGACTGAGATAACTGGTAGCTCGTGTATGAGTCAGAGAGTGAGGGGGAGGGTGGGGAGAACTACTGCACTGCCGGGCATGGGACTTCCATTACACTGGCAGACACAACGTTTGTTGCTGTTAATACAAAACCTCCAAGTTAACTTACGTTCTGGAAAACTGACTTCCAGATAATCAACACTCTACTGCAGGGGTAGGCAACTGCCGGCATGTGTGCCAGAATGTGGCGCACATGCCAGAATATGGCATGCAAAGGCATTTTGCTTGGCACAAGCATCTCAGGGAAGGGGCCGGGGCTGCACTGCCACAGCAAGGATTGGGTGCCTTGCAACTCTTTTGCTGTCTACCTCTGGCATGCCAACATTTTATAAGCTGAGGTTGTAGGTGTGTTTGACACTCTGTCCAAAAACGTTGCTGACACCTGCTCAACGGGAACATGCAAAACCACCATGGTGTAAAACTGAAATCTGAAATTTCCTTTTTCCCCACTGAAGTCAGGGAGATTTCTATTGACAAGAGGGCATTTTTAATAAACCAGGATCAAGACTGTTCTTCGCTGTTATTGTGTGGCACCTTTGACTGAACTTACAGTGCCCGCATATAGTCATTAATGTTTCTACTGGAAGAATCACCTCTCTCCCAGTTAAAAAAAAACTATGAGTGTACAATTTCTCCTGTGGGAAGCATGTCCCCTTAGGGAGAAAGGCCTTCCAGGTGTCAAACTGAAAGATCTCACTTGGGAGACAAACCCTCCTTGCAAAAATGAACACTTATACACACCCCTCTCAGTCTGGTCTGGGAGGGGAGTGGACCAGTTGGACAATGCTCCCCTTGTTTTCCCAGACCAAGAATTGCTTGGTTAGAGAAAGGGGCGGGAGACATTGCCCTGCTGCTCTAGTCCCATCCTGGACTGGTCTGGGAGGGGACTGGAGCAGCTGCTGAAGCTCCCCATCTCTTCCCCAGGCAACACCTGGTCTTGGAAATGGATAAAGGGTATTGCCCCACTTCCTTCCATCCCACAGACTGGTCCAAGAGAGAAAAAGCTCCCTGTCTACTCCCGACAGCTGGGTATCTCCAGTTTGCAGAATGGGCTGAAGTCTTTTCCCACTGCTCCACTCCCTCCCTGGGAACCACTGTTTCCCATGCCTTCCCCAGACTGGGATCACCTGGTTTCAGGAAGGCCTGAAGAGCAGGGGAGAAGAGGCTGTTGCATCCTTGCCTAGAAAGATTTCTAGTCAAAATATCTCTGAGAAATTTCCACCACTAAAAATAAACGTCTGTCTATGGCCTGTGTATGTTTCTTATTTCTAACAACGATCCCAGGCTATAAGGACTTAACTTAAAAGAATTTGTGTACCTTTGGTTGAAGATTTGGATGAAGCAGCACATAACCATTAGGGTCAATTGCAAAATAATATCCATTTGGGCAGAGCTGAAAGAAAGAAAAAATGTTGTGTGGTGTTATAAGGCTGTTTAATGGAAAACGAACAACCTTCTAATAATGCTCAGAATCTGGAAAATAAACAGTCAGCACCAAATCTACACTTGCTGGGGTATAAATCAGAGAGAAATTTAAATGAAGATTCTTAAAAAAAACCTTTACTTTTTATTCTGTGGCTTGGGTTTCTAACAGCAACAAAAATGTTCTTGGAAATTAACTATTTAAATGCTTTGCCACACATATAGGATTAAAAAAATGCTCGCATGCAAACTCAGATTTGTAGTGAAGAAAATTGCTGAAGAAAAGTGTTATATAGGAGCTACAGATGATGATGATTTATTAAGGTGGCATGCCATGTGTACAGTAATAAGAATATAACATAGAACTAGCTTTTGGATTAATAGCAGGATTGTGGGCTTCAGGCTGAGTAATAATTTATGGCCGTCTGGTTTCACGGCTGCTGGAATACAGTCATAATGTGCACATGAGCTACAGGATACTGATGGGCAGTTCATAGGTCAGCACTGATATGGACTATAGAGGAAGCAAACTCTCTAAAACTGTCAGAAGTATAAGTGTATACATTGGCTATTATGGGGGTGGGGAGGAGGAAGAATGAAAAGAGGCTCTTAATTACCTAATTCACCACCAAGCCTAGTGCTAGATGCTGCAGGAGAGAGCACACTATGATATGCATGAAGGTAAATAGCTGGTGCCACCACCACCATGAAAAAGAGGACTTACTGTAAACCGTGGTGTCAATTTTTTTATATCTTCCAAAGAGACATCAACTCCCATTACTCCAAGAATCAGCTGGTTCTAAGTAAGATTCCAAAATGTTAGCATACAATTTAATATATTTACAGTGTACAATAATAGAAAGAGGTGTATCTTAATTTTGTTTTCCCCTTTTTTGGATAGAAGTAACCTACTTTTGTATATAAAGTATAGTGTCATTATAACAAACCAGCAACAGGAGCTGTTTTGCCCTCCACCCCCATTATCATGAAGCAGCAAACATCCCTTTTTAATAAACTTTTCTCTTGGTCCCATGGGGGTTCATTATAATGAGATTGTATTGGGTGTCCGCTAGTCTTTTGGGGCAGAAGCTGTCTTATGTATGTAAAGGTGAAAATCAGCTACCATACCCATATGAGACCGATTAACTGCCAAGAAATGTAGAGCAGTTGGCCTAAACTGGAAAAACCTTATTCCCTACCAGCCATTAAATGAAACAGTATTAACATACGCCTCAGAGCATCAGCCTTGATGTCAATGGGCACATCTACACAAGATGTTTACCGGGGAGTTGCCTAATTAGCTCTGCAGTAAAATGTCAGCATCTACACATGTACTGCTATTAGGATGGAGTAAACTAATTAACTATACCTTAAGATACACAAGTAACATCCTACAGCAGAGTTATTTACTCTACCACAATGCACATGTAGATGTTAATGGAGCTGGCTGGGGCTGCCTGCTGGCTAGCACCACACTGAACGGCCCTCGTGCCCCAGCCAGCCCCTCCAAGGCACGTGGAGCTGGGTCAGAACAACACTGGGCTGGCAGGCTGACCCCTGGAATCCCCTGCCATCTGGAGCTGCTTTGCCCCAGCTCAATGTACTGCAGTCCCGGGTGCACATGTAAACAGCATGCCCAAGAGCAATAAACTTCAGCACAAACTGCCCTGGAGTTTATTCAGGCATTCTCATTGCACATGTAGACGCACCCAACATGTCAAAAGGTAAAACTAGGGGTGGGCAATTGTTTCAGCTGGCAGGCTGCTTCATGAGTTTTGGTGAGCTGTGGAGGGCCACAGATATAAAATCTTTTAGAAGATTTTGTTTTAACAAATTACAATTAAAAACCAAACCATACACTTAAAATGAAACATCTACTATAACATATTTACTTTTATTTTTTTTAAAAATTGTCCTGATTTATGTTTTTTATGATAGCT